TGTGTGCATGCATTTGTATGCCTTTGCATGTGTGTGCATGTTGGTGTGTGTGTGCATTTGTATTTGTATGTGTCTGTGTGTGCGCGCGTGTTTGTGTGTGTCTGAATTTGTGTGTGTGCATGTGACTGTGTGCGTGCATGTTTGTGTGTTTATGCATGTGTGTGTTTGCATCTATATGTGTTTGTGTGCTTGCATGTGTGTGTGTTTGTGTGTGTGTGTGTTTGTGTGCTTGTGCATGCATTTGTTTGCGTATGCCTGTGTGTGTGTGTGTGTGTGTGCGCGTGCAGTGAACGACTCGAATGTGCAGTTTCTGGATCAGGATGATGATGATGATCCCGACACTGAGCTGTACCTCACTCAACCCTTCGCCTGCGGGACCGCCTTCGCCGTCAGCGTGCTGGACTCATTGATGAGTGCTGTGAGTAACTACATTACCCATCATCCCCTGCTGACAACACACCAATCAGAGTGTGGCAGAACAGCTCTTTAGCTCCGCCCATATCTTGCTCTGCTTGTAAGTCCACTCCTTCATATTTGATCATATTTCTCACTTTATTCAGAACTTTAGGGCAAACATTTAATCACAAATGTAGAAATCTAAAATAATTATGAATAAAAACATTTAAAAACTAATAATCTCAACAAATTTAAAACATTTGTTGAATAAAAAGTGGAAGTAAAGGTATTTCTGAATCTCAGCTTTCTCTCGATGCTGATCTTCACGCTGGTGTAGAATACCGCATTCACCAGAGTTCTGAAAATATTAGTGAAGTCACAGTGTGTCATGTGAGGCCAATAGCACATAATATGAATCGACAGACTTTTATTTTGTCTGTAATATATTCAGACGTACTTCAATGATAATATCCTGACGCTGATCCGCACGCTGGTGACGGGTGGAGCGACGCCGGAGCTGGAGGGTCTGCTGGCGGAGGAGAACGCTCTGCGTGGAGGATACAGCACACCACAGACCCTCGCCAATCGAGACCGCTGCCGCGTCGCCCAGCTGGCGCTTTACGACGGACCCTTCGCCGACCTCGGGGTGAGAATACCAGCAGCAGGACGTATTATATAGAGCAAAACACGACATGGTGGCTGGTTCCCATCTGTGTTATTAGTTTAATCAGCTGTTATTGGAGAATAAATACATTGTAATGTTGTGATTGACCAATCAGAATCAAGTATTCCTGTGTAATAATCTGCAATAACCACCGGCTGGCTGTACATTATACCGATATTAAAGGGCCATGAAACCCCCTCGTTTCAGCAGGGTGTTTTCACACCTCTACTTTGGAAAAAGTCAGAAAAGTGGGCGTGTCCAGCTCTGTTTAGGGGGGAGTGTCGGAGGAACTAAAGTGGGATGGTGTGGGGGTGTCTATTTGGGCACGCGCGAGTTTCAGATTCAAAATACTCACACACACATACACAGGAGAAAGTGATGGTGTTTAACCTACATGGACATCTGTAGTCGAATTATTTGCCAAATTATTAAATGCTGGACTTTAACTGCAGTTTGGCTCTTTCATTCAGGGAATTCATTCATGCCCCTCGCCACAAACGAGATATTTGATTCGAGGAGCTGCTCTAAGCGTGTATTTTTCATGCAATGTTTGATACCGCCACGGCGAATGAGAGAA